CCATCGCTACTATTGTGGCCAAGAAAACGGCAATCAAGGAAGCTGTTCTTGCCAAAGGTGCAACTATGTTTTCGAAACTGAGATCGCAAGTGATAGAAGATGTTGAGAGACTGTTATTGGTATGGATAAACGAAAAACAGATAGCAGGAGATAGCATCTCTCAAGCGATCATATGTGAAAAGGCTAGGAAGTTGCATGACGATTTAATTAGAAAAATGCCAGCAACTAGTGGTGATGTGAGTGAATTTAAGGCCAGCAAAGGTTGGTTTGAGAGATTTAAGAATCGTAGTGGCATACATAGTGTGATAAGGCATGGTGAGGCTGCCAGTTTGGACCAAAAAGCAGCTGAAAAATATGTGCAGGAATTCAAGGAGTACATAGACAGTGAAGGACTGAAACCTGAACAAGTGTTTAACCCTTTCAGGGTCCGTCCCGTAGGTCTACGGCTTTACGTTCAGGGTCCAAACCGTAGATCTACGCCATGAGCTCAGCTCACTCTGATAAACTGTGAGTGGTACATTTGGGCCTAGATATGAGAGAATACATCTATGTGGTATGTGTGCACCACATAAAACAGATCCTGCAGCACACTGTGTATAATGAGAGAAAAAAAATGAAATCATGATTTTTCGATTAAAACAGCAACTTTGCAGTGTTTTTTCGTATGTTTTTTATAGTTGTATTTGCGATTTCTTGGTCTCATTTGATAGAATGGAAGACATATTACAGAAATACAGATGATTTTGATTGGTTTTAGCATTGGAAATGGCTTGAAACTGAGCTCAAAGTAGCGGAAATGTTAAATTTTTGCCGATATTCAAGAGTAAACAAACGACCTCACACATCTAATACACGTCAGCTGGTGGGTCTAATATACATTCACAAATATGGTGATGATATTTATACAATTATTACAGTATTGCATAACAGTAAATCTTCTATTTTTTGGTGTGAATAAAAATTCATTGTGAATAAAAAATAAAAATGGAATTTATTTGTAATGCCTCAAAACATAACTAATGAACAGAGGAAATGTTAGTTTAGTGCCAGGAATACCTACATTGTTCATTCTAGACCCTATTTTGAAATTGGAATATTTTGAACTTTGTGTTAAATTGGCCAAATTAACAATTTCCGATCACTTTATTTTGTAGTTGAAACAGTTGACTTGGCGATTTCTTGTGCTCAATCGATAGAATAGAAGTAATACTAGTGAAATAGCTAAGAATTTGGTTGATTGGAATAATGTAATTGGCCTAAAATGGGAGTCAAAGTCGGCAAAATCGCCGATTCGTAAATATCGCTGACACATCAAAATTCGCGAGAGCATAATTTCGTCAATTTTGCACCAAATTTCGTACTTTTTGTTTTATTACCTTCACAAAAAGATTCTCTACGATTTCATAAGAAAAAATAACAAATTTTTTTTTTAAAAATTCTTGACCTGGTGCGTGACTCCTATTTGGCCTTTAGAACCTGAAAGGGTTAATGGTGACACTGAAAATTTTTTGAACACGTTAGGAAGGTCACAAAGGAAGGGGGGTACAGGCCTCTTTTGGGCAGATTATGTTGTGCGACAGAGGCCCCATGACTCTCAAGCTGGTCCTTGGCATTAAAGGAAGTAACCCCGAAAAAGGCCTTGCCACCTCAAGTCCTAATGGAAGGGGATTCCCCTTCAAAACAACTAAGACCATCAACACACTCCCCCTCTTCCCACCCCCATCAATCATCACCAGATCTTCCAATAAAGGTAAGTGTCATGTAACTGTGCATGTCTTATTCAGTTTGTGTGTATTAAAATTAATATTTCATGTGTTAAAAAATTTTTTTTTCAATACTTTTGGGTGTCTTGCACGGATTAATTTGATTTCCATTATTTCTTATGGGGAAAATTAACTTGACTAACGATTATTTTGACTAACGATGAGCTCTCAGGAATGGATTAATAGTTAGTCGAGGGTCCACTGTATACACTTTATGTAAACAGTTTATTATTTCTTTACATTCTGTAGTATATTATGATTATGTTTATATACGATATTTTCAGCGTTTTCCTTAGAAAAATAGTGATCTATTGCAGTTAGCCTCAAAAATACTCTGTTTTCTCTTACAACAAGAGCACGGGAAGATACTCTCAGTATATACACACAGGAAATGGACACATTCGCCACTGCCTCTGCCACTGTATTATGGCCTATTTTATTAATTCTAGAGTATATATCATGTTTCTGTGTTAATTATATTGTTTATTATGTCATATTAGATGAATTGTGATAGACAAATAAGCCATATAGTTGGTAATAGCGTCATATTCAAGTATTTTTTTCTTGGCTCTCCAGAGTTCAGGAACGGATTAATGGCTTTTCAATTAATTTAAATGAGGAAAATTAATTGATATACGAGTAAATTGAGTTACGAGCTAGCTCCTGGAATGGATTAAACTCGTAAGTCAAGGTTCCTCTGTATTTATACAGTAGTGTACTGTATATTGTAATAAACAGAATAGAGGAAATCAGCTCTAATATACATTATTTAGGTACAGTGGAACCTCGGTTTCGTCATTAATTCATTCCAGAAAGTCTGATGAAAACCGATTTCGCAATAACTGAAGCAATATTTCCCATAAGAAATAATATGAATCCATTTAATATGTTCCAGATGCCCAAAAGTATTAACAAAAAATACATTTTATACAGAATAACTATAGTTTTACATACAGAAAACAATGAGAAACTAATTTAAAGGACTAATGAAATGGATAAATGAACATTTAACGTCACTTTTACCTTTCACAACTGAGACATTTTTGCAACATTGGTATTTTAATGTAGCGTTTTGCCATCCAGTGCTTTAGCAATACAATTTGGACCCTAATTTGAAGACATAGAACTATATACAAAGTGAGGTAATCAGTCCCTCAGCCTGGAGTTGGTGTGAAGAGCACCCATAGTCGTGAAGTTTCTGGAGCAGAGGCAAGGAGACTGGCGCTTATATACTAACGCCAGGTGGATTGGGACGGGTAGCAGATGAGGGCAAGTCACTGGTAGGCGGGATTCCGCAGTGGAAGTAGGTCATACCCAAAGGGTTGGGAAAGTTGGTTGTAGTAGTCGGAAGATGTGTAGTGTCATTTGAACCAAGATTCCATGATGTTGCAGTGTCTGACAAGTTGTACAAGAATGGTATACAATACTGGTATTGTATGCCGTTCTGGTACAACTTCTACCTTCATTGAAGACTTGTTGGTGTATGGAAGACGGTGAGGAGGGGAGAGGGAGGAGAGGTTATTTCTACCACCATCACTAGTAAAGTAAGTAAAGTTTATTTCTTTGTAAAGGTTATAATGTGCAATTACAATTTTGATTTGCTAAGTACGAAGATAGCCACTATCATGCCGAGGCATTTTGGCCAGACCAATCCTAATACATAGTAACTAATTAAAACTAGATAAGATGCTAGTACATAGTAACTATACTTAAAACTAGACAAGAAGTAGTGGTTAACTGTTTTACAATCTTATGTAAACTTAATACAAATGAGAGGTAGCAAGGTGGAGTAAGGTTCGGTAAAATAATCTTGAAATTGCACACAGAATCTACCTTAGATCCTCTACCACAACCACTACCACCCTCTACCACATCACTACCACCCTCTACCACAATCACTACCACCCTCTACATTTGTAGAGGGTGGTAGTGATATTTTTCTACAAAACTTTGCAACTCATTCCACTTTCATACTTTGTTACAAGTTCTTGCTTGAATTCAATCTTGTTTTTCGCCTTTTTTTAGCAAAGGACTGGCATTGGACCCTTTTTTTGGCCTCATGGTGGTTATTTTTTCACACATCAAAAAACAAGCACCGGTTAGCTACCAAACCTACTACACCTCACTTCCTACAATAAATACTACTCGCCTCTCACCCTACATTAAGACTACAGATATTTTAAGGTAAGTAATGTTAATGTACTGTATATGTATTTTACTTTTTATTATTTTTTGATGCCTAATTCTACTGTTAATATAAGTTAGTGTAAACTTGTTATCTGGCATTTAGCTTTACAGTGGTAGCCTGGAACCTAACCTGTCATATAAGTGGGGCCCTACTGTACAGTATTGTAATACTGTTTTTTCATTTGTTGTAGCATATAGTACCTCCTCTTTGATGCCATTTCAGTAGTCAGCCATTGGGTAAAAAGTATTTTATAGTGTCCTTTGGGAATGCTTACCATATCTCCTTTTTTTTTCTCCTGTATCTAACAAAGGTGTCGGTGTTTTCCCTTTTTTTATATAGTAACTTACATTTTCATTCTTTCCTTGTCATGCTTTATTTTTCATCACAGATACTTTTGTCTGCTCTGAAAAGTGCTTTAGTATATATAGTACTTGATTTCTTTTTTACACTGACTGTCTCCCGTTGAGGTAGAGTGACCCAACATAGAGGACAACACTTTCATCATTCATTCATTCATTCAATCACTCTTGCCAGAAGGGCCCTGACTTCATAGTTCAGATGACCCTCCAAACTATAAGTAACCCTGTAACTGGTTTTCCTGAATCCCTTCATAAATGTTACCTTATTCACACTCCAACAACACGTTAAGCCCTAAAAACTATTTGTCTCCATTTACTCCTATCTAATACACTCATGCATGCTTGCCGGAACTTCAAGCCCCTTGCACTTAAAACCTTTACCCCTTCCCTCCAGCCTTTTCTTGGTCGACCCCTACCCCTTCTTCCCTTCACTACAGATTTATACGCTCTCAAAGTCATTCTATTTTGTTCATTCCTCTCTCCATGTCCGAACCACCCCAACAACCCCTCAGCCCTCTGGATAATACTTTTGGTAACTCTGCACCTCCTTCTAATTTCCAAACTATGGATTCTCTGCATTATATTCACACCATACATTGTCCTCAGACATGACATCTCCACTGCCTCCAATATATATATAAATATATTTTAATAATTTAGAAAACAATAAATATTTTTATTGCATTTCAGTAATGTTCTTAAAGACTTTGATCCCTTCATGGACCAGAAAAGAAATGCTTTGATTGATTCAAAAGAAGCAATAGAAGCGTTGGCAGTACACGTACTATCTCTCTGTGGTAGGATTTCTACATTCTCGCAAGAGCAATTGAAGCAACATGTTATTAAGCTGATTGAGGTGAGGCATAATTAACATTTTACTAGTCTGTTTTAGTTAGTCTTCATATTTTTAATAAATATGTGCAAGAATTGAGTTAAGATTGCTTTTTTATTTTATTTTCAGATTTGCATTTATAACAGTGTATACAGTGTGAAGTATTATATATGATGAAGAAAAAATGTGAGATCCAAAATTGGAGCCAAGAAGAAAATCTAACATGATTCAGTTTGAAAAGTATTATACAGTGGACCCTCGACCAACGATGGCATCGTATAACGTTAAATTTGACTAGCGATACATTTTAACGCTAACATTTTGCCTCGACTAACGCTAAAAAAACTCGACTAATGATATTCGTTCTCGGGTACCAATTAATATCGTTAGTCGAGGGTCCATTGTATTGTGTATTTTCTTAATTGTTAGAAATGTATAAATACTAATGTTGACTTACAAATGGAAAGTTAGTGCCACTCTAGGACACAATTACATGCTTTTATTGGTGGCTAACTTTTCCTCAGAATGAGTTTTATCAGACGTCTACTAAAATTTTGTGGTGTTTCTCTTTACATCTTTGTTAGCAGCCCCTGACATATGTCCTAATGTAAAGTAATACACCCAGACACCTATTTACTGATAGGTAAACATGGACAGCAGGTGTATGGAGTTTTTTTATTCACCAAAATTTGATAAATCAGCATTGTGGATAAAGGCACACATGCATTATTGACAATGTTTTGTTACATAGTGGGAGCAGTATCTAGTTATGTTTTTCCTGTCATATTGCATCACACAGGAAAGTAAGGAGACTTTCCTCTACAACTTGCCCTGCCCAGTTTTGTAACACGTAAGTGAACTAAGAAAAAATTGTCTTGAAAATGCAGATAAGCATTTTGGTTTCCATGAATATCCTGCAAATGGCATGATGCTCATTCTGTGTGCAATAGAAGGATGGAGACAAAAATCATCACTTTAATCTCCCTTCTTTAGAAAATATTTTTGGGAAAATTACAGCAATAACTGCTGACAGTAAATTAGCATTAGCTTACACTTCATTTCTAGACTTTTTTTTTTTTTAACATGAGGCAGAGTGACCCAAAAAAGAAAAAATGAAAGTTTTTCTTCTTGTCATTTAGAAATTTATACAGGAGATGGGGTTACTAGGTAGGTAGTAGGTTGGTAGACAGCAACCGCCCAGGGAGGTACTACCATCTTGTCAAGTGAGTGTAAAACAGAATCGTGTAATTGTTTTACATGATGGTAGGATTGCTGGTGTCTTTTTTCTCTCTTAAACATGCAAGAGTTCAGGTATGTCTTGCTACTTCTACTTACATTTAGGTCACACTACACATACATGTACAAGCATATATATACACACCCCTCTGGGGTTTCTTCTATTTTCTTTCTAGTTCTTGTTCTTGTTTATTTCCTCTTATCTCCATGGGGAAGTGGAACAGAATTCTTCCTCTGTTAAGACATGCGTGTTGTAAGAGGCAACTAAAATGCCGGGAGCAGAAGCCTCGTAACCCCTTCTCCTGTATAAATTACTAAATTTAAAAAGAGAAACTTTCGTTTTTCTTTTTGGGCCACCCTGCCTTGGTGGGATACGGCCGGTTTGTTGAAAAAAAAAATGGGGTTACTAGCTCCATATGACACACATGGCTTATAGAGGAAGGATTATTCTTCACTATTCAATGGAGGTATCTCTAGACGTGTTTCCACAAAAGACTAGTTACATAATGTTTTACTGTCTTAGTCCTTCCCTTAAACTGGGCGAAAAAATGTACCAGTGCCCAAACAACGAAGTGAGAGTTAATCTTCCTGATAAGGATTGCTTTAAGATAGCGGGTAGAACAATCCATTATTGTGAATAAGTTCTGATTGCTAAGCTTCATCCTAGGAAATGGGTCAAAGCTGCATCTCTTGATCTGGAAAGAGCTAAGGAATTTCTAAATGAATTTACAAAACTCATGAAAGCTATGGTTTACTAGTCACTATCAAGTTTTTAATACAATTGAAAATTTGTTGCTCATGAAGATATTACCAAACCATACCCAAGGAGAGTGCACTGTACACGGAAACCTGTAATTGTTTTACGTGATGGTAGGATTGCTGGTATCTTTTTTCTGTCTTACAAACATGCAGGGTTTTAGGTACGTCTTGCTACTTCTACTTACACTTAGGCCACACTACACATGCATGTACAAGCATATATATATACACACCCCTCTGGGATTTCTTCTATTTTATTACTAGTTCTTGTTCTTGTTTATTTCTTCTTGTCTCCATTTGGATGTGGAACAGAATTCTTCCTCCTTAAACCATGCATGTCATAAGAGATGACTAAAATGCTGGGAGCAAGGGGCTAGTAACCCCTTACCCTATATACATTACTAAATTTAAAAAGAGAAACTTTTGTTTTTCTTTTTAGGTCACCCTGCCTTGGTGGGATATGGCCAGTTCGTTGAAAAAAAAAATGGCCCTAAAACTGTTTGTCCATATATATTAGTTCAAAGGGATTATAACCAAGACCTTGTTCACTCTTTTTGATAGCAAACACCTATAACAGTAACTCTCATCCCAATCTCTTAAATATTCCATTCAAAAAGCTTTTATTGTAGCCTTTAATTTCTGCTAGAAGCATTCCAATGCTCCTTGTGACTGCTATGATAACTGGTAGAAAGAACAGGCTTATGCAAATATGTTAGATAGGAGTGGAAACAGGTAGTTTTTATGATTTGACGTGGTCTAGTGTGAGCAGGATAACATTTATGAATGAATTCAGGGAAACTGATTAGCCAGAATTGAGTCTTGAAGGTGAGAAGTATAGTGCCTTCACTCTAGAAGAGGGGTAGGGATAACGTGGTTTGGAAGGTTATCTGAGCTGTGATGTCAGCATGCCTCTGGCAACACTGATTGAATGAATGACTGTAAAAGGGGTTTCCTTTTTGTTGGCTCACCCTACCCCTGTAGGAGATGGCTGGTGTGTTAAAAAAAAGAAAGAATAACAGCACTGGAAAGCTTTGAAGAATATGATGACATTGTATAGGAAGGAGATATTGAATATTGTAACAAATAATTGTATTTCTTTTTTTTTTTTTGTAAGGCTGTAAAAAATATAGCTATCTTCAGAAACTAATAACTCAGTATAAATATTCTTCCAGATTAGCTTATGGGGTAACAGATGTGATCTTAGCATATCTGGTGGGGCTGACAAATCTCAAGATTCAGATGTATTACTCTTACTGGATAAACTGCAGTCAAAAATTCTTGTAAACAATTCAGAATCACTGTGGCAACTTCTAGTAGCTCTTCCAGAAGACCAAAGAGATATTGGTGAGTTAGTATTATCTGTAATTTTTGTTTTTGTAACATTAATAAATACCTTATATGCTTATTTAACCCTTTCAGGGTTTCCGACGTACTAGTACGGCTTACGCACCAGGGTTATTGACATACTAGTACGTGTAAATTCTAGCGCCTTCAAATCTAGCGAGAGAAAGCTGGTAGGCCTATGTATGAAAGAATGGGTCAATGTAGTCAGTGTTCACAGTATAAAAAAAATCCTGCAACACACAGTGAGTAATGAGAAAAAAAACTTTGACCGTGATTTTGGTTTAAAACTGTGACTTTGCACTGTATTTTTGTATGGTATTTATGGTTGTATTCTAGTTTTCCTGGTTTCATTTTATAGAATGGAAGAGATATTACAGAAATTGAGATGATTTTGATTGGTTTCACAATGAAAAGTACCTTGAAATTGAGCTCAAGTAGCAGAAATGTTCGATTTTTGCCAAAGTTCAAAAGTAAACAAATCCTGCCACGCGTCCAATACACGTCAACTGGCAAGTCTAATATTCTTTCACAAGTGTGCTGATGTTGTTTATACCATTTCTACATTTCTACAGTAGTCTGTATAGCAGTAAATCTTCTATTTTTTGTGAGAATAAAAATTCAAAGTGGAAAGCAAAAGAAATGTAAGAGGGACCTGGAGACGTAACTGATGAAGAGAGGAAATGTTATTTTAGTGCCAGGAATGTCTGTCTTGTTTATTCTGGACCCTGTTTGGAAATTGGCATCTTTTGAAATTTGTGTGAAATTGGCAAAATTGCTAATTTCTGACCACTTTATTGGATAGTTGAAATTGGTAAATGGGTGGTTTCTTATACTCATTCGATAGAAAAAATGGAGTTCTAGCGAAATAGTTATGATTTTTTGTTAACTAGTACACTGGAATTGGCAGAAAATAGGGCTCAAAGTGGGTGAAATCGCCGATGCGTAAACATCGTCGAGACCGCTAACTTCATGAGAGCATAATTCCATAAGTTTTCCATCAAATTTCATACTTTTGGTGTTATTATGAACGGGAATAGATTCTCTATCTTTTCATGAGAAAAAATAATATTTTTTTTCCAAAGAATTTTCGACCCTGAGAACAAGTTTAGGAGAAGGCCTCTCGACCCTGAAAGGGTTAAGAGTACAGTAATAAATGTAGTGTTATTGTATTTTGTTAATATAAGCAAGTGGTTCAAGAGTAAAACTCCATTAGTGGCTTTTGATAAGTTTGTGACTGATAAAAGATATGAGTTATTGTAATAATAAAAATCAAAATTGGCTCTAAGTGTTTACTGGGAGAATCTATCTGCTTATACTTTGATCATCTTCCAGTTGGGACCAGTTGGGACCCTTTCTCCTTGGGGGCATTATCTACTTTTTAATTTCCTGATATTTCAGCTGTTAAAAAGAGGCAAAACAATTTCCATTCTTGATAGCTTCTTCAACACTACACCTCACCACTTCAGTATTATATTATTGGATCTTTACCTTTGTTTACATTTCTCTCGACTGTGAATGAAACATGTACAATCTGTAGTAGTAGTAGTAGTAGTAATAATTTTTTTTTTTACAAGTCGGCTGTCTCCCACAGAGGCAGGGTGACCCAAAAAGAAAAAAAATCCCCCCAAAAAATACTTTCATCATCATTCAACACTTTCACCTCACTCACACATAATCACTGTTTTTGCAGAGGTGCTCAGAATACAACAGTTTAGAAGCATATACGTATAAAGATACACAACATATCCCTCCAAACTCCCAATATCCCAAACCCCTCCTTTAAAGTGCAGGGATTGTACTTCCCATTTCCAGGGCTCAAGTCCAGCTGTATATAAAAATAACCGGTTTCCTTGAATCCCTTCACTAAATATTACCCTGCTCATACTCCAACAGCTTGTCAGGTCCCAAATACCATTCATCTCCATTCACTCCTACCTAACACGCTCAGTCATGCTTGCTGGAAGTCCAAGCCCCTCGCCCACAAAACCTCCCTTACCCCTTCCTTCCAACCTTTTCGAGGACGACTCCTACCCCGCCTTCCTTCCCTTACAGATTTATATGCTCTCCATGTCATTCTACTTTGATCCATTCTCTCTAAATGACCAAACCACCTCAACAACCCCTCTTCAGCCCTCTGACTAATACTTTTATTAACTTCACACCATCTCCTAATTTCCACACTCCGAATTTTCTACATAATATTTACACCACACATTGCCCTGATTATTATTATTATTATTATATTATTATTATTATTATTATTATTATTATATATTATTATATATTGGGAGCAAGGGGCTAGTAACCCCATCTCCTGTATACATTACTGAAGTTAAAAAAGAGAAACTTTTGTTTTTCTTTTGGGCTACCCTGCCTCAGTGGGATATGGCCGGTTTGTTGAAAGAAAGATTATTATATATTATATTATTGACCCTTGTGGGTTTAGCACTTAGTTATTACTATAATAATAATTATATTATTATTATTGTTATCATATTACATTATTGCATCTTCGTTTGTTTACATTTCTCTCGACGTGCTTGGAACAAATATGATCTGTAATTATTTGTATGCGTAAGTTTTGATAAATTTTAACTTTTTATAATAGAATTGTATATATTTTATGGTAGTAAATGATAAAATAGACATGCATCTATATATATATATTTAATGCATTCATAACATATTTAACTTTTTCTTAGTTTTTTCGGTTGGAAATCTTCAAAAAATTTTCCAGTATATTTATTGAAAAAAATCTGCGTACAGTGGAACCTCAAAAATCAAACTTAATCCGTTCCAGGAGCTAGTTCTAAATTCGAAAAGTCTGAAATTCGAAGCAATATTTCCCATAAGAAATAATGGAAATACAATTAATCCGTTCCAGCAACCCAAAAATATTCACACAAAAAATACATTTTATAGAGATTAATTACAGTTTTACATACAACAAATACTATAGTTTGTAATTATGTATAGTAATACATATAAAATAACATTTTTACTTACCTTTATTGAAGATTGGTGATGGCATCTGGAAGATAGGGAGGAGGAGAGAGGGAGTTGGGGTTAGTGTTTGGAAGGAGAATCCCCCTCCATGAGGACTTCAGGTAAAGCCCTCTCTGGGGTTACTTCTCTTCTCTGTCTTTTAATGCCACTAGGACCAGCTTGAGAGTCACTGGACCCCTGTCTCACAAAATAACTGTCCACAGTCCTCTGTTTCTGGTGCCTCTTTAACATTCCCCTAAAATGGGACATGGTTCTGTCACTGAACTTATTGCAAAGATGGCTTGTTTCAGCTTGCTCAGGGTGGTACTTCTGCACAAACATTTAGACATCATTCCACTTGGCACAAATCTCCTTAATCTTTGAAGAAGACACCTCATCCACTCCCTATATTAACACCTTTCATAACATCAGCTTCCTTGATTTGTTCTTTCTTTGACAGGATAGAACCATGGTCGACTTGTTTTTCCCATACATCCTGGCATGCTCAAGTCTCACACCACTCTCATACTTCTGTATTATTTCCTTCTTCACATCTATGGTGTTTCTCACTTTCTTTACCACAGGGGTACCACTAGCAAGTTTCTTTGGGCAGCTTATTTCACAGTCCCACAAGCACTAAACACAACGAGATAATCGTAAAATGTGTGAATGAGAGTGCAGGTTAGTGTTCACTCAAGCATAAACAAAGGTAGACTGCTCATAGCGCCTGTGCAGGGACGCAGACAGAGCGGGTGGCAGACAGGTCCTGTACCCGGCGGTCCGAAAATAGGGGCGCGTTCGATAATAGGGACAGTTTGTCCGAAATAATGGTCCTATTTTTGAAACGTTCGATATGTGATACATTCGATTTTTGAGGTTCCACTGTATATGTGGACCCATGCAGTTCAAACCCATGTTGTTCAAGGGTCAACTGTATATCAAAAACATTCTACTGGTAAACAAACTGTTTCTCCAATTAGATTTTGAGATTAACAATTCCAGATTAGACAGAAAGCAGTGTTTCTTTTTTGGTTACAGTGTTTCTTTCTCGGAAGGTTTGCATTGTCATCTGACCCAGACTTGTACTGTATTTGTTAACTGGTAAATATTCCAGAAAGTGGCAAAGCTCAAAGATTTGAGATAGTAATTTGTGAATTGATGCCATCTGGTGTAAACAGTTTTGAATCATTTAGTTCCAGCACGCACTTATATCTCCATGGGGAAGTGGAACAGAATTCTTCCTCCATAAGCCATGCGTAAGAGGCAACTAACATGCCAGGAGCAAGGGGCTAGTAACCCCTTCTGTATACATTACTAAAGTTAAAAAAAGAAACTTTTGTTTTTCTTTTTGGGCTACCCTACCTTGGTGGGATATGGCTGGTTTGGTTTGGTGAAAGAAGAAGAAAAAATCAATGATATACAGTGTATACTGTTGTTGGTAGTAGGTTGGTAGACAGCAACCACCCAGGGAGGTACTACCGTCCTGTCAAGTGAGTGTGAAACGAAAGCCTGTAATTGTTTTACATGATGGTAGGATTGCTGGTGTCTTTTGTCTGTCTCATAAATATGTAAGATTACAGGTACGTCTTGCTACTTCTACTTACACTTAGGTCACACTACACATTACATGTACATGTTTATTTATACACATTCATCTGAGTTTTCTTTGGTTTTATCTTAATAGTTCTTGGTCTTATTACTTTTCCTTTTATATCCATGGGGAAGTGAAATAAGAATCTTTCTTCCATAAGCCATGCGTGTTGTAAAGGTCAACTAAAATGCCAGGAACAATGGGCTAGTAACCCCTTTTCCTGTAATAATTACTAAAAAGAATAAGAAGAAAATTGTCAAAGTGGGAAGGCTGAATGTGCGTGGATGTTGTGCAAATGATAAGAAAGAGATGACTGTGGATGTTATGAATGAGAAGAAGCTGGATGTCCTGGCTTTAAGTGAAACAAAGTTGGGAGAGTTTCAGTGAAGCGGAATCAATGGGATTAGGTTAGGGGTTTCAAATA